TTTTATCATCCATTATCCTCTTGTTTTTCACAAAATTATTGTCGCCTAGAGGTCAGAAAGACTGTGTGAAATGCCCAAAGACACAGAGCTACCGAAAAGTCATGATTTATGCCAAGTATAATTTCAGAAAGAAAACTTCCAAATATTTATTTGCTTGATAATTTGATGTTGGCAATCTTTACTTAGGACTTTAATTAACCCCATCATAGCAGTGAGAAAGACCCAGTCTTCTTTGTGTGTGAGTGTGTGTGTGTGTGTGTGTGTGTGTGTGTGAGACAGGGTCTCAGTCTGTTGCCCAGGCTGAAGTGCAGTGGCAGGATCTTGGCTCACTGCAACCTCCACTTCCTGGGTTCAAGTGATTCTCCTGCCTCAGCCCCTCAGTAGCTGGGATTACAGGTGCCTGCCACCATACCTGCCTAATTTTTGTATTTTTAGTAGAGACGGAGTTTCACCATGTTGGCCAAACTGGTCTCGAACTCCTGGTCTCAGGTGATCTGCCCGCCTAGGCCTCCCAAAGTGCTGGGATTGCAGATATGAGCCACTGCCCCTGGCCAAAGACCCAGTGTTCTTCCCCTGACAACTTACCTTGTTTGTAATTGTCTCCTTCACATCCAGTGCTACCTTACTTTCCTATAGTCCCATCATTGCTCATATTTACTATATTTAAGAATGCATATGTTTTGAGACAGAGGTTTTCTTCTGATAACTGGCTGGGTTCCCTAGGGAGGCTTTTTTCACCCATGAATGATGACAGCCTCCTCAGAGCAATTCTTTTAACTTTGTGCCTATTGGAAATAAGGCTATGTTATGCAATAGCAGGGCTTTAGCTTTGAATATATTGTGTTACAGTAGCCCAGAATGGTAAAAAGACCCCTGATTGAGGCCTCAGGAAACCAGGACTCTTGCTACCTCATCCCTGTCCTGTAGTGATGCTTTGGAAAAGTTCTGATACTTTCTGAGTCTCAGTTTTTTTCCATCTACAGAAAGGAAGCACGGGGCTATAGCTTCCAAGAGCCCTTCTTGCTCTGAAATTCTTCAGTTTATAAATCTTATCTGCAATTCCACTGAGCAATAGCTGATTTGTTCTTTTACATGTTTGTAAAATGTTATGGTAGGTCCTGAAACTCCTTTGGAACGATAGGTTAGTACTTGGTGTGACCTTTGCAGTGTAGGACTTGTTCTGCTCAGTGGCGCTAATTAGATGCTTCTAAACTAGAGAATTCATACCCTGAGACTGCTTATGGATGCTGTATGTCCCAACCAGATGATTGTTACTGGCATCATGAGCATAGCTGCCTACACTATTCACACGAAGTGACTTCATGACCAAAACACCAAAAGCATTGGCAACAAAAGCCAAAATGGACAAATGGGACCTAATCAAACTTCACAGCTTCTGCACAGCAAAAGAAACAGTCATTAGACTGAATCGGCAACCAACAGAATGGGAAAAAATTTTTGCATTTTACCCATCTGACAAAGGGCTGATATCCAGAATTTACAAATAACTAAAACAGATTTACAAGAGAAAAACAAACAAGCCCATTCAAAAGTGGGCAAAGGATATGAACAGATACTTTACAAAGGAAGACATACATGAGGCCAACAAACATATGAAAAAATGCTCATCATGACTGGTCATCAGAGAAATGCAAATCAAAACTACATTGAGATATCATCTCATGCCAGTTAGAATGGCAATCATTAAAAAATCTAGAGACAACAGATGCTGGAGAGGATGTGGAGAAATAAGAACACTTTTACACTGTTGGTGGGAGTGTAAATTAGTTCAACCATTGTGGAAGACAGTGTGGCGATTCCTCAAGGACCTAGAAATAGAACTTCCATTTGACCCAGCAATCCCATTACTGGGTATATATCCAAAGGATTATAAATCGTTCTATTATAAGGACACTTGCACATGAATGTTCATTGCAGCACTGTTTACAATAGCAAAGACCTGGAACCAACCCAAATGCCCATTGATGATAAACTGGAAAGGGAAAATGTGGCACATATACACCATGGAATATTATGCAGCCATAAAAAACGATGAGTTTGTGTCCTTTGTAGGGACATGGATGAACCTGGAAAGCATCATTCTCAGCAAACTGACACAAGAACAGAAGATCAATCACCACATATTCTCACTCATAGGCGGGTGTTGAACAATGAGAACACATGGACACAGGGAGGGGAGCACTACACACTTGGGTCTGTTGGGGGGAAATAGGGGAGAGTCAGTGGGGTGCGGGGAGCTGGGGAGAGATAGCATGGGGGGAAATGCCAGATATATTTGATGGGGAGGAAGGCAGCAAATCACACTGCCATGTGTGTACCTATGCAACAATCTTGCATGTTCTTCACATGTACCCCAAAACCTAAAATGCAATAAAATAAATTTTAAAAAATAAAAAATAATAAAAAAAGAGACAGTCTAAAGAACAGATGAGGAAGTCATGTTTTTTCTAAATATGGGAAAACATATTCAGAAGATTCAGAAAGGGAAGTAATTCAGATTCAGAAAGAAATTCAGAAAGAGAAATGAGCTTGCCCATAGTCAAGCAGTGGTAAGTGTCAAAACCAAGACTGTATCACGGGATTCTGGGACAACAGTTCACTGCACTTTCACTCCACTCTGTTAGCTCCCATGATTTCTTTCGTGGTGAGTACAAGTTACTATTAAATAAAGTATTTCTGGTCATAAAGGCATCTACAGTCCACGATTGTTCTAATGGGCTTTGACAGAAGAGAATATGATAGTCTTTCACAGCACCCTGATACTAACAGCTTTGCTGGAAGGCTTGAGAAACCCCACCGTTGAAAGATAACTTACTTTTAGATTAATCCTCCTTGCTTTCACCTCTGGAACTCAGGAAAATAGTTTGGCTGAACTTGTATATTTGGAAGTGTACCACATCTCCCTGTTATAGTCAAATTGACTAGTTATTTAGAAAGAGTGTCCCTCTTGAATTTCATGATGAAACTGCATTTGGGGTTTCCCTAAGTTAAAAGAATATAATGTGTACTTATTAGACAGGGTATCTTGGCAGATTTTCATCCCCTTTGGATAAAAACAAAATTGCACCCAGCAAATAAATTGACATATGAGGGAGTAAATAATTCCATTGTGCAAGCTGTTTTAATGGACTCAATCCAGAATGCGCCATTAACCATCACACATAGAATATTCATTGAGTTTAGAGTTTATTGTCAGGCCAAAAAAATAAAAGTGCAGGGGAATAATAAATGTCAGTATATCAGCTGAGAAGGAGAGAAAGAAAGAAAACTTTAGAGGTATATTTTTCTTCTGTTTTTCTATTCTTCTCAATATTTTTCTTTCCCTCTGTATTTTTCTTTCTTTCTTCTGTATTCTTTTTTTTTTCTTTTTCTTCTCGAGCAAAGGATTAAGTACAAAAAAATGTTGGTGTCAGTTTTCAAATATAATCATCAAAAATCTGAGTACTGGCCAGCAGAATGTTTTAGGGACTTTTCTTACTTTCCTTTTGTGAGAAGTTCAGGTATTAACCAATTGGAGAGTGGAGTGTTACATGCATTTGTATGAAATTGTGCTTATACACATCTCTACATGGATAAACATTCAGAAACCATAACAGCATTCCCAAAGGAATTCTTCTGTAATACAGGAAGTGACAGTTTTGTGATGGCACCACAATTAAGCTCTGGTTTTTATTCCAGAAATCCCAGGATTTAATTTTTAGAAGAAAAGAGACATCTGTGATATTCCATAGGGCTGTTTAGAATTACAGGCAATTTAGTTTTAAAGCTTGTTGAATGCAAGGCACTTGAGTTTGGCTTAACGTCCAGGCATCTCTTTGCATTCAGAAATATCTAAAACCACAAACCATAAATTCTGACGGACACATGCAAAAAAGGCCACAGAAACATGATTTTGTTATTCAATGTGGCCACACTCCTCTGACATGACTTCACTCCCTGGTCTCCCAAGCTTACTTACTTTCTCTTGCTCTGCACTTAGATTTACTAAACGACCAGGCCTGGGCTATGCCAGAGAGTCACTTCCTACCACGTCTTGTGGATTAAGACCGTGAACTTAACAGAAAGGGGCAGACATAGTCTTTCTGCAAGCTTTGACATGTTGCTGTAATTTCACTGAATGGAATGTGTACAGAAAATAGAGGACAATGAGATTCAGAATCTGAAGTTGCAGAGCATTTTGATTGGTCATCATTCCTCTCAAAAATCATGTGTGTTCTACCATTTGAGAGGTCCCATGTCTTTTCTTAGTTCTTGCTTTGGTGGAAACTGTTGTTAATGTCATGCCATCTCTTTTCTTCTTGAAACTATCTCCCACCTGAATTGTTCCATTACTGGTCAGTTCTTTGATACCTCCTCTCTTTCTCTCTCT